CAAATGCTGTTCTACTTTAAGTTAACCACCGTCTCAGGACGAACATGACAAGAGTTAACCTCCAGTTAGGAGCAAGGTCATACTTAACCTTATGGCGCGTCTACGGAAAGCGGGTCTGAAAAGGCATCAGTCATTGTGTTAATGATATCTTCAGACATTTTTGTAATGTTGAATAGACTGCTTGGTCCGTTCGAGAGGTTATGCATTGCAATATGGTATGTTGTATACGCACACCACCTCTTTGTGTGGACGTGTTAAAGGGGGCTCTTAAATGTCATTACGGGTTATAGTTGGGGCCGAGTCGCGACGCGAGGCGAGCTTTCGTTTTCTTTCTTTTACATGCTTTATGTAATGGGCGAACACGCGGTCGGGCGGTGCCCGCAGTGGGGTTCTAGGGGTCCTGCAATCACACTATTTTCAATGGGCTCAATTGTCGCATTTTGCTCTTGAAAGTTCCTGCTTCTGCCACTCAGTCACATTAAAATTATTCCTGGCTAAAATAGTTATTTATTATACAAGCCATAAAAGTACTAGATTTTTGCTTGAGGTTGTATTGTTTCCCGTGTATAATACACATTTTTTTTTCTGTGACGGGAAAAACGACGATTTAATATCAAAAAATGATATTATTACAATATTTAAGTCAGTAATTGATCGATGTAAGATTAGAGTTTTGAAATTAGTAAGCTATGTTGTAATTTAAAATTTGAAAGTAATTAATTAACTGTTAATTTAATTTTGTGGTTTGATTTAAAGATTGGGAACTTAGTGGTTGTTTAGAAGTTATTTTTAATACTATAAAGTAAAAATGCCTGATTCCGAATTTTCTTTGTCCCCACCGGACAATTATTGCCAGCTACATCGCGAAATATTTACGAAACCGCGTATTCAAGATTCATGGAATGAAAGAGGAAAAAACATGCAGTTCTGTGTCGGAGACAGTGTTATTGGCTTATTATTTTCGGAATTGGCACAACAACAAAAGCCATCAACAGTGTGGTCGAATTATTCAATGATTAAAACTATGTCATAGTACAATAATAATGTAGACATTTCAAAATATTTTAAACTAATTACATTTCTGAATCAAAATGGAAAAGGTTACAAGCCTAAGAAAGCTGAGATTTTTACGAGTACACAAATTGGTGATTTTTTAAATAATACTCCTGATGAAGTATATTAATTTAATGGCCAAGGTTGTTGTATTTGGGATTGCAGGAGCTTGTCGAATTTGTGAAATCAGCCAGGTATCATTAGGTAGTAATAATAATAATAATAATAATAATAATATTTATTCACTCAATGTACAAAGATAACAAACAATATGAGTAAATAAATATAAAATCAAAACAGGCCCAATAGAAGGCATCGCCTGTACATGGACCAATAATTTAAGTTGAAACTGTAGAATGCAAATGACAAAAAAGGACAAAAATTAGCTACAGTAGATGAATTTCAGTCCTAGATATAGAATGTAGCCACTTTTTTAAATTTCTTTTGAAACAATTTCCGAAACGTAAATCTTTTAAGTCTTTAGGTATAATTTCATAAAATTTAGGCGCTAAATAGAGATATGATCGCTGCATTATAGATTTATGCGGTTGAGGAACTACTGTGCCACGAATTTTGTACCTGGTATAATGATTATGTTTAATTTTTTGGTCGGTGTTTACAAATTTAGAGTGATACTGTGTAAGAAATAAAGCTGTCTTATATCATAGATTCGAACATCTGCGTATAATTTTTCAGTGGGATAAAGTTTCGGTTTTTTAAATATCATTTTTAGAATACTTTTTTGAAAAACATCTAAATTATAGATATGTGAGGAACATGCAGCTCCCCATGCTAATATACCATATGTGAGATGAGGCTCAATCAGTGCATGGTGTAATGTTCGAAGATATTTTTCTGTCAATATATTCCCAAGGTATTTAATTTTGTAGGATACAAATCTAACTTTCTTTAAAATATAATTGACATGGATGTTCCATCGTTAGTGAGGATCCAAGACCACTCCAAGGTATTTTATGTTGGGCACTCTATTAATTTGCATTTTTTGATCATTAATATTGAAGGAGAAATTTGTGTAATTTGGCAGATGTCTAGCATAAGATCCAAATGGCAAAAAATGTGTTTTAGAGTAGTTAATGCTTAATTTTCTACTGTTAAACCACTGAATAATTTTGATAAAATCATTTTCAATTACATTTTTCATCAGACCAGTCAGTGCCTTCATATAATATTGCAGTATCATCTGCAAAACTAGTTATTTTGCCAACACAATTAATTTGGAAAATATCATTTAAATATATATTGAATAACAGCGGACCTAAGACAGTTCCTTGTGGGACACCACACTTAATATACATTTCTTTACTAAATGATCCTGATATCTGCACAGATTGTGGGCGATTTGACAAATAACTTTCGATCAGTGAGTACGCGTTTCCTCTGAAACCAATTCTCTCCAATGCTTTTAATAATAATTTGTGATTAACTGTGTCGAAAGCTTTCTTTAAATCAACAAAAATGCAGATTGAAGGGATTCTGTTATCAATATTTTGATGTATTTGATTTACAATTTTAGTTATTGCGTCCGATGTAGCCTTCCCTTCTGTAAATCCATATTGATTTTCACTTAAAATTTTGAATTTGATATTGAAGATTCGGGAACGTTATTAAAAAATTAAAAAATGTTTCTCGTACCTTTTGAGAAAATAATCATTTTCGGAGCAGGTTTTTAAGATATTGATATCTTATAAAAAAATAACTATAATTTTTTAGCGCCTTATTGTTATATGCAGGAATGAAAATGGTCATATTGCACAAATTTTATGAAAGATTCACACTATTGCCTGTATTAAATAAAATTGTAATAAGTAATATCACAGTTGTTTATTTTCGCTAACTACACTTAAAGAATTAATAAAGCAATTGCAACAAATTTTTTTTTCTCGAAAACTATCCGAGATTCTCTGTATTTATAGGAGACAAAAAATGAAGTAATTAAAAAGATCTGCTAAATAAAAAAAGGTGTTCAATATGACCACCATTTTCGTTCCTGCACATAACAATAAGGCGAAAAAAAGTATTTTTATATAATGTCATTAGATGTACCTATTTTAGAAGCATGCTCCGAAAACATTTATTTTTATCAGAAATAACGAAGGAAATTTTTTCATCGAAGAGTACACGAGATTCTCTGTATTTACAGGGTCACAAAATGAAGTAATTATAAAGATCTGCTAAATAAAAAAGGTATTCAATACGACCACCATTTTCGTTCCTGTACATAACAATAAGGCGCAGAAAAGTAGAGTTAACTTTTTATAAAATGTCATTAGATGTACCTGTTTTAGAAGCACGATCGGAAAAGCATTTTTTCCTCAGAAACTACGAAGAACATTAATTTGTTTCTCGAAAACTATACGCCTGTTTTTACGAAATACACAAAATGAAGTGAATAAGAGAACCTTTTAAATAAAAATAAAAAAGGGAAAGTAGCGAAAAAATTATGCTATAAATTTATGTAGGTGTACTAGATTTATCTATAGAAAAGAATATTTCAACATATAGACATTGTGAAAAGTACAAAAAAATGTATATTCAAAAATACTGTAATAGATTTATCTATTTCGGGCTTTTACTCCCTTAGCAACACAACTTAATCTCAGGATGGTTAACTTTTTTCTGACTAAAAATGTGTATTGATAGGTACTCCAAGGAATTATATTATTTGCAATACCTAACAAGTTTCTAATAACAATATACCTGTATAATACAGTAAGCCATACTACATAGGGGTGGAGGTAGTTTTAACCCTTCTCGAACCCTTTCGTTTTTTGTAAAAGTCAAATCATTAGGAAGTATTATTCAAATCGGACTATCGCTTCTAAAAAACCGTGTTTTAAAAAGAAAACTTCCATGTCCACAAAATATTGGCATCGAATTTTTATGATAATTTATGGCGGTATGGTCAACCCCCGCGTCCGTTTGAACCGGTGATCGGTTAGCGATCTCGGTCGCACGGTTTGTTAGCGCGCGGTTTATTTACATTTTCAGTCTGGTTTCTTTCGCTATTATACAGATTGTTTAATTAATCGGTTTAATTAATACGTTGACCGGTTGACTGGAAAAGATTAACTACCTGCCCCGGGTACTACCTCCGACCAGTGTTCCCCGCGTGTTGATTTACTAATTTATTATAATTTTTACACCTCGCCTATCAGTTCGGAGTCGGCTGGTGTTGTTTTTTTCGAAAGACATGCCGTTCGGTGGGCCAATTTAAATCAGTGTAACTATTAATATTAATAACAATATAATCGGTTTGGGTTATTAAGTGTACATGTTGGCCATCATAATGTATTAATAGGGTATTTAAATTGGGTTTACGTGTGCATCTCTTACCTGACGAATTACGGTATTCTCAAGTAGAATGGCTAAAAATTTATTTATCCCGAAGATCTTGGACAGGAAGCTGCTTTCGAAAATGCTCAAGTTCGGGTGTTCTTTGGGGATTTGAAAGATATTCCGGCATTTTTTAATAATTCTCCTCAACGCGTAGAGGTACTGAACAGAATTGTGGGGAAAAAAATTCCCCAAGGAGCAACAACTCGTTGGAATTTTAATATCGAACAATAAAAGTGGTGTTTGAGAACAGAGAATCACTCATTGAATGCATGAAAGAATTAGAAGAAAATTTCACTAATGAAACCGTTTGCAAGGCATCTTGCGGTATTCGCCGTATGTTAAACGATTCTGTTTTCGTGTTTTGGTTGACATTTTTTCATCATGTCATGCCTCACGTCGACATCTTGTTCAACCAGTTGCAGAAGAGAAAAACCGAGCCAGCGCAAGTTAAAACGGCTACCGATAATTTTGAAAAATGTATTGTCGATGTGAGAAATAAAATTGATGACATAATAAATGAAGCCAGAAGTATTTGCACTGAGCCCCAAGGCAACGAAAGAAGACGACGTAATAATAGCAGTCACGATCACCATTAGAAGTATGCGACAATATAGTGAATTCTGCAAATGACAGATTTCAATTCAAAGATCATTTGGTGGCCGCATCCCTTTTTTTCCCCGAACACTTTCGAGAATACTGTGGTAAGTTTCCTGATGATAAGTTGGAAACTACCTGCTCGGCTTATCCCGAATTAGAAAAAAGTTGTTCAACGACAGAGTTGTCTGTTATTTATGCACGGAATGATTGCCGAGATTTACATGGAACTCTGTCTCTTTTGACATTTTTGATACAAAATAGTTTGAAAGAAACACTAAAAGAAACAAAAAAGCTATTAGAAATTATTGTTACAACTCCTATGTCAACATCAGAGGCTAAGCGAAATTTCTCAACATTGAAAAGAATCAAGATCTTTCTTCGAAATACTATGACTAAGGATCGCCTTACAGCGTTGTCGATGCTGTCCAATGAAAAGGAATTTATTTCGACCATGGAAAATTTCAACGGGAAGGTGATCGAAAATTTTCCTGCCAAGAAGGAGCGCAGGATCGAACTGACATATAAAAAATTGGTAAGTTCGGATTTGCAGAACACCTGTTTTATTTTGCCACGAGCCGCCACTGATCTTGGAATTATATTGGACATGTCATTTGCTGTTTGAAAACTGCACTTGAGATTATATAAAAGTTCTAGCTGACCCGACAGACGTTGTTCTGTCTTAGCTATGAACCGGGAAGAATAATGAATATTGAAAGGGTAAATACAGGTAATGTGTAGTGAAACAAGGGCGACCAAGTAAAAAAAATTAAAGGAAAAAGTACTCACTCTCCAGTTAACGAGAAGGGCTAAGTACGTCTCTGCCCGAAATCATACCGCTCCAACAGAAAATGAAATCAGCTGATGCGTTACCGAGCAGACGCCGGCGGTGGTGCAGACCACGAACAGAGGTAAAAAATAAGACGGCGTTGCCGCGTTTTCAGTTTTTAGGTTAACGTACTTTATAGGTATTCTTCGAAGTTATCGCCGTTTGATTCAAAAACACAGGTGCGTGCACGACGTAGCCAAGCATAGATGCAGGCGTTGAGAATGGAGTCCCTCCCCCGAATGAAAGCATCAGCTTGTTCAATTCTGAGACGACGTTCGTCAACCATATGCACTTCAGTTTTGTACACTAAGCGTTTCATTTCTCCCCAAAGAAAAAAATCAAATGGTGTTAAGTCTGGAGATCGAGGAGGCCACGCTACGGGTCCATTACGTCCGATCCACCTATTCGGAAATAATTCATTCAAAAACTCACACACTTCGCGTCTAAAATGGGGCGGTGCACCATCGTGCAGAAACCACATTGATTGTCTTACACTTAATGGCACATCTTCTAACAAGGAAGGCAAAATGTTGCGTAAAAAGTCTAGGTATTGCATCCCGTCCAATCGATTTGGTAGAATAAATGGTCCAATGAGCATACCGTTCACCATGCCAGCCCAAACATTCACCGAAAATGTTTGTTGAAAATGTGCCCGATGGACAGCGTGCGGTTTTTCTACTGACCAAACATGAGTGTTGCGAAAGTTATTCACCCCATTAAGCGTGAACGTAGATTCGTCTGTCACCAATATGCACTTCAAAAAGTCTGGATTATTGTCATGTTGATGCAACAACCACTCACAAAACCGCACAAAACCCCGACCCAGTTCTGTCGTCGGGTTGAGCTAGTGTCCTAGTACCAGTCGAGGATGTCGCGGCTACAGGACGGTATTCAGATATTTTTGATGTTGCAGAGCCCTTTATCTCGGTGCCCTTAAGACATTGGTGTATATGGTACTAAGAAAAATTGCTTATGTTTTCAAGATCTACACGCCGTGTAAAGGAAAACCCCAACTTTGCGGACACCCTGTATAATATAGAATATAGGTAACTGTATAGCGAAGTGTTTGTACCGCCATATGGCTAGCAAAACATGTTGGCAGCACTGCAGTTTCTTTTGAAGGGGCCATCACAAAGTCCGGAAAGTAAAGAAATGTAAGTCCAAAAACGAAAGCACCGTGTTTATATACGCAAGTTTCTATCACATAGCTAACTGTCAATGCTCAAGCAGAAGAGAATACTTTAGATTCAATTCATTTTAAACCGATTTTCAACCTTGAAAGGTGGGCTAACAAACGGAGAACTTTCAATTATCTTCCGTCCTAGTCTCGTGAATAACACTTGTAGTGTCGAAGAGGACTTCACATAATTAAGATCGAACATGACTTACAGGTAAGTTCGTTTGATCATGTAATTTTCGCAGAGTGTAGTACAAAATGCAATTTTATATAACGATTCATCGAATGTAGTTACACAAATTAATAACAGTGTCGGATACTACCGTAAGCATGTTTCCATATTATTATCCAAGAATGTAGGCATTTATGACCAAGATTACGAAAAGTTTAATGAATTAAGAACATCTGTGTGGCTATCTAGATGATCTTTCCACGATCATCATCAACCAACATTCCATCGCCTAGTTGGCTTGGAAATGATGTGACTTCAGATTCTTCATTACGTACAGGGTGTTCATTTGAAAACTTGCTACCGCGGATTCATCGTAAACCACTGATTAACAGGAAAAACGCCGAGACGCGTCAAGGCGGGCATCTTTTTAAGCAAAAACTACTTCACCCCTTTTCACCCTCTGCCCCCTAGGATAATCCCCTAGCGGCCAATTTCACCAACATTAATATTTAACAGCTCCCCCCAGTGATTTCTATTGAAATGTTGAATGAAGTCGTGAATAAACTGTTGCCCTAGAAATAACGGAACATTATATATATATATATATATATATTTTTTTTTTCAGAAAAGACGCTCAGTTATGGACCAATGAAAATGAGAGAATTAATAGGTCGATTTTCTAGCTATTATATTTGGTAGGATGTTTTCACTGTTTTTGACGACTGTTCATGCATGGCAATCTAGTTTTGTCTGTATATAACGTACAGGGTGTTGTACACAATATGTACCTGTAGAAATGTACCGATTTTTGTTATCTTCCAAAAAAAGGATAGGTATAAAACGTATTCCAACTGATTCATCATCTTTTGTTACATCAAAAGCAATTTTTGCCAATTTATGATCTAGAAATCCACACCAAATGTAAACAAACAGCACATTCTGCATTTCTGGGTTCTAAAACATCGATATTTGTAAAAGTACACGCAACCACCTATTATTCATCGTCTAGATCATTGATTCCCAAAGTGGTCTATATCGACCCCTAGGGGTCTATGACAACCTGCAAGGGGTCTACGTCAGCGAAAAAAAATTTGGGGGTCCATGAAATGAATATGGGGGTCCACGATAGTGGTTCTCAACACATACACTGATAGCACCTATTTACTTACATCATACTATCTTATAATATCAAAACATATACATTATTTATAAAAGTACCTATGAAGTAAAAAATTTATTATATATGTTTATAAAATTGTGTAAGTTGTAGGATGTTGGTATTCGCTTTGTGGTCGCAATACATTTTGAACTTGTAAAAACCTGAGAGTCGCAGTCTCAGAGCTTCGCTACCTTGCACTGACTTGTTCAATTCGTCACTCTTTAAATACGAATGTGGGACAAATACGTTTATTCGTTTCCTGAATCTTGAAAAGGAAAGTGCTAAGAAAATGTTTTAAAAAATATAAACAGCTAGTATATCACACAAATTATAGCGAGTCAGTGTTATTTTGTTTGAGAGTGCTGGAGAAAAGTAAGTACATTATTTTTTATTTTAGTTTTGTACTCGTAGTTAGCAAAGATAGATAAATTACGCCAATCATGACTTTAGTTATTAGTAGTTAAATATTCAATCATGCAAAATTACACGAGTACTCCTCAATAGTTTCTTTTTGAAAGTTTTAGCAATCGGTAATATAATTACAGTGCAATCTCCGTAATTCGAGCTAATTGTTGCAAGAAGATGTTCGAATTATGGAAAGTTTTCGGAAAAATCAAAAAATATTTTTAATATAGAGCTGCTGGATTTTTTTGTCTTATTTAAATAATTTAATTTTGCCCACAGATGACTGATGCCATATCCGAATCTAAAAAGAAATGTAGACAGTACAGTGTTGATTATTTGAAATTTGGCTTCATTCCATCATTGCCGGACAAACGATCGCCTATGTGCCTTTTATGCAACAAAGTTTTGGGCGATGACGCTATGAAACCATCTAAACTGCAAGATCATCTGAGAAGATGCCACCCTGATAAAACAGAGAAAGATTTGATATACTTTCAAACACTCAAAGATAAATTTCAGAAGAGACCTACACTGGACAGAATGTTCGCTTCGACGTCACAAAGAAATGGTGATGGTTTGCGGGCGTCTTACAATATCTCGTTACTTATAGGAAAATCCGGAAAACCGCTTACTGTCGGAGAGAAGTTAATTTTGCCAGCCGTTGAAGAGGTTTTAAAAACTGTTTTACACAAACCTGCATCTAATTCCCTTAAGCAACAATACTGTTGAAAGACGTATTGATGAAATGAGTTCTGATATTGAAAGCTTCTTATGTAATTATTTGCAAACGACCCATTTGTCTATACAACTGGACGAGTCAACTTTACCTGATAATGCAGCATTATTATTGGCATATGTTCGTTTTATTATGAATCAAGAAATCTACGAAGAACTGCTCTTCGCGAGAACTTTGATAACCGACACTAAAGGTGAATCAATATTTCATGTTTTGAAGGATTACTTCATTGAAAAAGCAATTCCTTTATCAAATATAATATCAGTAGCTACAGTTGGAGCACCTGCCATGGTTAGACGTTATCGTGGATTTGTAAGCTATTTAAAACAAAATGTGTCAGGGGTGTTAGCAATACATTGCGTCATCCATCGACAACATTTAGTTGCTAACAATTTGAGTGTTAGATTGCATGAATCACTTCATTTAGTCACTGATGCAGTAAACCGAATCCGAAGCAACGCGTTGAATACGCGGTTATTTGCGCAGTTGTGTGAAGAAAATGACGAACACTTTCATCAATTACTCCTTCACACTGAAGTACGCTGGCTGTCGAATGGCTTATGTTTGACAAGATTTTTTGCACTTTTTGAGACTATTTTAGAATCTCTGGATACTAAAGATAAAAACTTTTTTTTTATTATTTTTAACTTTTTTTTTATTTTGTCCCTCTTATTTTTTTTTTCAATGTGGGCACTTATTCCCAATGCGGGCACTTATTGGTCAGACACCTGTTAATTTAATGTTACCTATATTTTACATAACAGATACAAAATGTTATTTTGAGTAGTTTTAATTTAAATTCAATCAATAAATGTATAAATTAACATGTGTTTTTACTTTAAG